ACATATTTATTCAGTATTGTCATTATATGTTGTTATTACACTGCCTTTTTCATCTCAGGTTATAGATCTTACTGCAGATATTCTTTTTTATATTGTTTCACCCTTGTTATTATTACTAGCTATCTATCTATCTATGCCTGGACGTTTAGTAATGTTGTTTATGGTGTGGGCGTTGCTACGCAGCTAGCCACTGTTCCTCATCAGTTGTTGTAGCCACTCATAATAGCAGGACAATGAGTCAATTCAAAAAACATATATTAAAAAAGTTAAATTTGGCTCCAGCCATTAGAACAGAAATTAGAGATTAAATGTTTGGGACACACCAGCCAGAAGATTAACAGCATTCAGTCTGGAAAGGACAAAAACTTCTCCAGAGAGGTTCAGGAGAAAAACATGGCTAACTAAGTGTAGCTAAACACACTCTTCTGCTGTCTTTGCCTGCTTTTCATGCACTTGCTATTCAATCAATTGAAAAAGAATTCATTCATGGATGGCAAGTTTGCCCAGATGAGAGATCGTCGTGCATCTTTTGTTTTTGAGCAGTGAACATCACTGGTGATTCATTTTGCAGTATTACAAGGCGTGTTATTCCTAAAGCCCCGCTCAGTCGCAGCTGGAGTACGACAAACTGAAAAAGGCCGTCCTCCAGAGGGTTGGTCGAATTCCAGAGCAACACAGTCAGCGGTTCTGCTCGCTGACGCTACAAGAGTTTGACCGGCTCTCCGTATTGGCTCAACAGCTCCGCGATTCCTGCAGGAGGTGGCTCTTGTCCGAAGAACGCGATTCCGATGAGGTGGTGCTGGAACAGTTCATCGCCTGCTCACCTGAGGAGACGGCAGCGTGGGAACAGTGCCACCAACCGGAATCGCTGGAAGAGGCCACTAAGCTGGCAGAGGCGCACATGGCGGCTTACTCAAGGGCAGGAACCCCCACCCAGCCAACATCTCTCTCTCCTTCTCTATTTTTCTCCCTATTCCCGCTCACAATTCACCAATGCGTGGTTCAAGATGTGGCATTGCAGAGGGCATGTCGAAATTCAGGGCAAAAAGCATAACATGAAGGTGGAGGTTACTCCTCGCCTCACCCATCCTCTTTTGGGTACAAATTTGGGGTACTAGTGAAAGTTTTGATAGAGGATGGGTCCTGCAGTGCTACAAGAGAGGGGGCATGTGCCGCATTAGACACAGGCGAGTTTCTGGGTTCGTCTGTGGCGGCTCCAGAGTGAGGAGAACGGGAGCTTGTTCCTCCGTTGGTGGGGCCGAACCTGAAAATGTGGCCACGCCTCCGGGGGGTCACCCTCATAGCTCCCCTCAGGGATTTCCCTCTGGATCAGTCATGTGGCAATTCGCTGAAGCACACCTTAGACCAAGTGAAAGTTATCAATGGTCAGTTACGCGAGCCCGGAATGCCCCTGTCATATCCCCATTTTTCCATCATTAAGGATAAGTTATACACAGTGACGTGGGAGACTCAAACATCGGAGCTTTTAACCCAGCTGCTGGTACCAAAAAGCTGTAGGGAAATGTTATTCTATGCGGCTCATAATAATCCCATGGCAGGGCATCTGGGGCAGAAAAAACCCTCAATCAGCTAATGGTCCACTTCTACTGGCCAGGCATTCGCATGGATGTATGCAAGTGGTGTGCATCATGCCGCGAAGGTCAGCTTGTAACCCCCCTCCATCCCAAAAGCGCCTTTGTGCCCCCTTCCATTAATTGAGGTCTCCTTCGAAAGAATTGGCAGGGACCTTGACGGACCATTGGATCAAAGCGCATGTGGGTATCGCTTTGCATTGGTCTTAGTAGATTATGCAATGCGATACCCAGACCAAAAGGTTGCAGAGGCACTCTTCAAAGTGATCTCCCGAGTCAGGATCCCGAAAGAGATCCTGACTGATCAGGGCACTACATTTATGTCATGCACTTTTCACAAACTATTTGAATTGTTTGGCATTAAGTCGATTCGTACCAGTGTTTACCACTCCCAAAAGGATGGACTAGTCGAATGCTTTAACCAAACCCTCAGAAATATGATTCGAAAGTTCGTTCCTGACGATGCTAAAAATTGGGGTAAGTGGATAGAACCCCTGAGAGGTCCCTCAAGCCTCCTCAGGGGTTTCTCCTTTTGAATTATTGTATGGGAGGAGACCCAGGGGTGTCCTACACATCATTAAAGAATACTGGGAGGAGGGACCTTCAAACAGTAAAAATGAAATCCAGTATGTTCTTGACCTGAGAGCAAAACTCCAAGCATTGGGGCACTTAACTCAGGAGAGTTAACCAAATTGCTCGCCAAGTGGCACGGACCCTTTGAGGTCACATGGCAAGATGGAGAAGTTGACTATGAGGACAGATGGATAGACAGACGCAGGGCACCAGATATCCCACCTCTATCTCCTAAAACCCTGGAGGGAGGTGGTCCCTGTTTCTCTGGCGACGGTAGCTCCCAAGAGAGCTGATTTAATCACACTCCAGTCTCCTGTGGGGACGAGCTGTCCCGTCCCAGAAAGCAGAGGTGGTCAAGTTGCAAATGGTGTTTTCCGACATGTTCTCGCCTCTGCCTGGCCGTACTGACGTGGTTGTACGCAGCCGGCTTTATTGCTTACCTGAGCACAAAAAGAAGGTGGTTCAGGATGCAATGCTCGGTACTGGGGGGTAATCGAGGAACACCACAGTAACTGGAGCAACCCCAGGGTGCTTGTCACCAAGCCCGACAGGACTGTTTGATTCTGTGTGGCCTACAGGATAGTCAATGCGGTGTCTAAATTGGTCTAAATTGATCGGTTAGGTGTTGCTCATTTTTACTCGATACTGGATTTGACCAAGGGCTCCCGTTCAGCTTATTCAGAGCACCAGCGATGTTTCAGCAGCTCATGGACTGAAGTCTCCACCCACACTGTGCTTATGCCGCTGCCTATTTAGATGACAATCATATATAGCAGCAATTGGCAGCAGCATATGCAAAGTGTGTGGAGGGGGTTGTTGAGGGATCGTGGCCGAGCTTCACATGCAGGACGGAGAGCCAGTCAGGCTGAACCTGTGGCCGAAGCAGCTGATATTCACCTGTGCCTTGTTTCTGCCAGCCTACTTAAGCCATCTCTGTCTTCAGTAGGTGGCAGAGCCCAGAGAGAAGGAGACCATTGGAGACACGAGAGCAGAGCTCAGCTGAGAGAAAGCACAGCAAAGACTGAAAAGTCCCAGCGAGCGTGCCCTTTCATTTTGTCTTTGGGCTGAAAAGCAGAGGGGTTTTTGTGCTCTGTATAAATAAACATAGCTCTCTGTCTCCACACCTGCTCCCAGTATCCTCACTCCACCCACCCTTCAAAAATCATTACAATATAACAAGATAAGAAGTGTACCGCGCTCAGCAGAGGTGATAATGCTACCACGAGCTCCAGTCAACTGTGCATTGTTGATGAATGGCGACTTCACATGAAACACTTGTTGGCCAAACAGATAAACATCAGCTTAGGGCCATTTAAGGCGATTCTCATGGGATCTTAGAACCTTGAGGGAGTCACCAGAGTCAGTGGCTCAGGTTACCACCGAGTATCAAAAGCAGCTTTCATTTAGTGCTGATTTTGCTGGCAGCTCTGAGTTACTTTGACACGTTCCTCTCAAAGAACATTGGTCGGTTTGTCATTGACATCAGTCTCTGCTTTAGAAATAAAGCTGGCAAAAATGAACCCAAACATGAATGGAATTAACTCTTTTGGAATCTGTAACTAACAAAATGTTATAATTTTGCTGGAACATTACTTTTGTGGTCGTGATGTTAGAGAAATATTTACAGACAAGATAATAAAGTCTTTAAATTTGGGTGTCATTCCCTGTTCAAGGGTGCAATGAATTATGTCTGTATGTTTCTGATACTACCCAAAAATCCCCCTAGAGTGAGTTACAAGGCAGTAACAATGAGCTATTGAGTTCTAAGTAGTCAGTAAAAGTGAAGGACACCACCAGAGGCCACCTTTGTACTGTTAGTTTGTCACAGTAAACTGCTGCCCCCTAGTGGTGCTTCAGTTCTCCGGTCTGTCAATGAGAACGCACACACAGTTAAAGGAAGCATGTTTATTAGAATACTGCATAAAAATACGCAAATTAAAGGATCCTGACACTCTGAAAGGAATGAGAACCTGAAAAACAAAAAACAAAAAAAACAAACACAACACAGCGCTTGTTCTCATGTCTAAATATTTAATACTTTGTTTTCTTTTTTCAGGTTCTGTGTTTGTCTAAATGGCTCATCATTTTCATGTATTTTTTTTTCTTTAAGGTTCACTTATAACATTTGTGTTGTTTTATGTACCAAAGATCATTTTTTGAACTTACAATTGAAACAGACTGTTTTTGTTACTCTGCCTTTTAGTTTGATATAAACTGGTAAAACTGACAAACGAGCTCTGGTCGAACTGGCTGTCCTGTATTGTACCTCATTCAGCTCAAAAGCACTCAGAGCTGAAACATTTCTTATAACTCAGTATGAAAAGGAGAAGCTAAATTGCTGCCCTCCCACAGTAAAAACTACTTAAAAACAAGTATTCAGACCTTGAATACTTACAAGGATTACGCTATGATCTATTTAAACACCATTAACTGAGAGAGTAATAAGCTAAATATACACACAATCATTATTTACTAGGTACTTTCTTTTGGACGATGACAGTCCCAAACCCCAACCCCTAAATTTCAACTTGTGAAAATAACACTTAGAACTTGTTTGTATTTTTGTATTTTTATTTTAAAGATCTTTTGGTTTCTTTTAAAGTGAAGTTAAAAGATTTAGATTCATCATGAATTAAAAAAATAAATAAAAAAATATTAAAAAAATGCTGCCCACGTTTTAATGTCACTACTGAAACAGTTTTAGTCTACAGGTGGAGCCTTATTGTAGCCACACCCCTGCATTTTAGAGGAGGGACTGAGGCTGCACCCCTGTCCCTCATGGCCACATGGTGAGCAGTTAGATCCCATTGTTTTGAAGTAAATGTTTCCCAAAGTCTGAAAATCAGTGTGGAAGTTTATGAATCGTCACTACCAAAAACACATTTTCTAAAATCAAGTAAACTTTGTGTTTTAATGAAAAATATTATTATTATGATGTATTTGCTAGTCATGTGCTGGCTAGCTTTTTTTAATTGTGCTCAAAATTACACAATTTTTGCAAAATAGTTTCAATGCATGGACTGTATGGACTGTGGTAAATGGTATGTTTTGGAACTTGTCTACATATTACATCAAACCGAGCCCTTTAAAGACTTTTACCTGCATTAAAATGACGATACTACAGCAGAAAATGAATTAAAATGACCCTCCTGAGCTCCTCAAGCGAACATACGAATGCATCTCATTTTAAACCAAAATGAACATCCGAACACTAAACATCCAGGCACCCTCAGCTCCAAACACTGTTGTACAGTGATGTATTCAAAGACTCTAGAATGCTGAGTGCCAGGCTTTAGTTTAACTGATAACACCTAGTCCAAAACACATCCTACAATATGCATCAAACTTTTTCATAACTGGTTATTCCCCAAGTTTATTCTTTCTGAAATGGTACTGCATATTTTTGTGAACATAGAAGTAAAAGTGGAGTAGAAGCAGAAGAAAACAGAACACTAATAAAAAAGCCAAAGGAAAGTCATCTATACATCCTCTGGGAAAAGCTACCTGAGGTAAAGTAAGATATTACTCTCCCCCACAGCCGTCACCAGTATCACTAATACAGACATACAGTACATCCCTTGCACCTTAAACGCTTGTAATTCTCGATTGCAGTGCCCTCCCAGTATCTGATGAGGTGTTATGTTGCAGTCTGTCCAGGATTGTCAGGGTCAAAAGTCATGATCTCCATGTGTATGAGGCCTGTGAGAGATGGAGAAAAAACAGTTACAGGGAGAATCTGAGGGTGCATCCTGTAGTGTAGGCCAGGGGTCTTTAATTAAAATTCAGTAAGGTCCAGTTAGGGAAAAAGTTCCTCAAGCGAAGGTCCGGAACATCATAATGTCTAAGTTGCATTATGACTCAGTGCCATATACTGTTTACTGAAGTACCTAGTAGGTATATCAACATCTTATACAGTCAACAACTGAATATCAAATCAAATAAAGTACAGTTCAGTAATATTTCAACAACATTTGTCAGTTTTCTGTTTTTAGATCACGCCATGTGAAATAGTCTGGCTCATTTTCTTCTCCAAATGCTGTTTCTCGCCTCGTCCCTCCCCTGTGTGTGCGTCACTCACTCGAGTCTCAGTGCTCATCGTAATGCACAGATCTGATTGGCTGAGTAGCGTCACGTGTGATATTTAAAACGCACGCAATTGGTCTGTTAGTTTCCCAGGCTGCTAAGGCCGTACCGTGAAGGCTAGAAAAGTTACGCCGATTAAAACAGGACCACCCAGTCAAAATTAAATAATTCTCCACAGTTTATCAGTTACAGGTCCTGGTCCACATAGGACAGCGTCTGGGTCCAGACGTGGACTGCAGTCCGCCTATTAGTGACCTCTGGTCTAGGCTGTCAGCACGGTGGGCTGTATTTCCAGGCTTCTGCACTCTCAGAAATAAAGGTAGTAAACGGTCACTGGGGTGGGACCGTCAAGGGTCCATCTCAGTCCCTTTAGTCAGGGAACATAACTGAACCATAATCCACTGAATGATATGTTCTAAGCTGTACTGACTCCACACACCCCGTCTCGTCTCCAGGCTTTTATTTTACTGTTCTGTTTAAAACATTCGGTTATGAAAAGGTACAAATACGAACTTTTCACCTGGAGAAACTTATTTAAGGTTCACAATCAGACCTTAAAACCACTGTTGGAGCTTTGAAGGCACAGCACCTTTATTTCTAACAGTGTATGTGTCAACAAAGGTTGTTCCAATTCAAAAGAGACAAATTCAGAAGGTACAACTGGTAAATTCTTTCTATATTTCTCTGTGCATGTTTCACAAAAAGTATTTGGGTGGAAGCAAAAACCACCACACCAGTGTAAACTGTGCCAAGCCCCTATATTATACAGTGCTGTGAAAAAGTATTTGCCCCTTCCCAATTTCCTCTTATTTTGTATATGTGTCACACCTGAATGTCTCTGATCAAACTTCTTTTAATATTAGACAATGATAACCCAAGTAAACGCAATGCTGTTTTTTTAAATGATCTAATTTAATGTAGGAAATGCTGTTCAGCCCTACCTGGCCCTTTGTGAAAAAGTAACTGCCCCCCTTAGCCACTAAAATCAACCACTTAAGCAAATTCAATTGACTACTTGGTCTAATTTCACTAGCCACACCCAGGCATGATCACTGCCAGACCTGCTGAATCTAAACACCACTTAAATAGAACCTGTCTAGCAATGTGAAGCAGCTAGGTGGTCTCAAACAGCAGCACGATGCCACACTCTGAAGAGATTCAAATACAGACGCAAAACAAAGTTACCGAAAACCTACAGGTCTGAAAAGGGTTACAAAGCCATCGCAAGGCACTGGGACTCCAGAGAACCACAGTGAGAGCTGTGATCCACAAATGGGGTAAACTTTCAACAGTGGTGAACCTCCCCAGGACCACTCATCCAGGGGGTCACAAAAGAACATCTAAAGAACTGCAGGCCTCAGGTATTGAAGTGTTGGCCCACATACAAGACATTAGATTAATATTTTAAACTATGAGAGTGTAATTCAGGCTGAGACTGAACATTTATAGGCCATTCTATTGAATTAGGTCAAACGGTCTCACGGTAAAAAAAAAAACTTAAAAAAACTTTAAAAGCAATTAAGTATCTAGACTTTTGATATTTACAAGGATTGTTATGATCCATTTAAACCCAAGGCATCAACTGAGATAGTAATAACCTACTTGTAGACACAATCATTGCATTTTTTTTCAATGTTTTAATTTTTTTAAAGTTTAAATATTTTGTTATCTGTTTAATTTTTAAAAATGCTGTCCCTCGTTTTCCTGTCACTACCGAAACACAGAGCTTTAGTCCATAGGCGGAGCTGGGCTGGGCACTAAATTCAGCCCTGGACCTTTGCCTAGACCAGCTCACTATAACCACAGTGACCTGGCCCCCACCAAAACTCCCAAAAAACCATGCTGGACACACATTGAGAATGCAGTGGGCCACTACACACACTCCAGTATTGCTTGGCACATGCCGTTGGTCTCATGCCGACTTCACTCATTTCATATAGGGCTACATTAGAAACGGCCAGCTATTTCTCTCTTCCTCGCTCTCTTATCGGCCCACACACATAGCAGCCCACTGGGAATTGTCCTAGTTCTCCCGATGGCTGGTCTATCCCCATCCAAGTGAGACTGCACTACATTTTTTTAAGTAAATGTGTCCAAAAGTCTGAAAATCAGTATGTACCATTAAGAACTGTCACTATCAAAACATATTTTCTGCAACTTAAGTAAACATTTGTCTTTTAATGAAAAATATCATTGTGTACAGCTGTTCAAAGCTGTGTTTGCTCGTCATGTACTGGCTGGTGTTTTTAAGTTCTGCTCAAAATTAGCTTAAATTGTCACTACAGAAACATGTGCTACCGAAACACTGTTTTCAACTCCGATACTGAACAAATTCGGTAGAATTATCCCGATACATTTGTAAGCAGAAGTCTGGGCACCTCTGGTCGACGTTTTGTTGAATTTCTAAGTGAAAATAAGTAACATTCCCTACAGTAGCATAAACTATACTTAAAAAGTAGTGCATTGGGAATTACTACTGAGAATAAAAGCACTTTCCTTGCTCAAGTTTTGGGTTGTAACTGCAAACTGTCTTATTGTGATAGATTACGGCCTAATGCAGTTTATGTTGGCTGTAGTCCAATTTCTGGGCCCCACCTTATGAGACACAAACAGTTATCACGGCTGTGATTTGGTCGCCGTAGATCATCACAGTGATGTTATTGTCGATAACACACTCCTCGAGTGTTCTATTGCTTTTATACAACAGTTAAATAAATACAGTAATAAATTAATAAACTGGGCCGTGAACGCGGCGTTTAATATGTTTTAATGTTCGCAGTTCCTTCACCAAATTATAGTTCCTTAACAAGCAGCTTGTTGCTACGTCAGAGTAACGAGCTCCGCCCACTCGCTGCACAGCCGGCAGTTCGTTCTCCAGCTCCACACAGACCAACTGACAGTTTGGGAATTTAGTGTCATCTCATCTTCAGAGTCTGACCAAATCGGCTGTCGGTCAAATGTGATCTTAAAAGTGTCCATTTTCTGTTTGTGGCAAAGTAAGAAGTAAAAATATTCAAATGGCTTGAGCGTCTCCTACAGCTGTCAAAGTTGTTGCTTAGCAACGGCGTCTCAGCGGAGTGATGCAGTGTTTGTGAAAAACCTGTGATGTTATGGCGAACAGCGGTTAGAACGCTTCTCAACCAATCAGCTTCAAGTCGTTTGCTCTGCCTTCATCTGGCAAAGGTCTGGTTGCAGACATGCACTCTCAGCCTGACGTGCAGCACCAGCCTATTAATGGCGTCAGTGCTGCTCTGCCACAGCAGTGTTTTTTTAGCACCACGTACTGTTCGGCAACAAGAGTTAAACTGAACGGCTTTTAAACTTTGTCATACTGATAATAATGGAATTAAATATGATCATTTACAAAATCTACCACACTGATAAGACAGTTAAGCTAATAAACTTGACACAAAACAGGCTACCCCTGAAACTCATTACACCCTGCTGAAAAGACTACTAGAACCATCAGGAACAAAAGCTAATGGTTTTGCCTTCCTTTAGGAAGCTTCAAATCCCAGAACACCTGCTAAACCATGAGAATCCTTTTCCACTAGGAACCCAGCAGGAAAACACACAATACCATGAAACCAACAGACACTTTTTTATGGGTTCTATCATTTTTATCATCAGGGAAGTACATTAAATGGAGTTCTCCAGCTGTGTTATGTATGGAAAATGGATTAAGTGATGATATTGCTAAGCAAAGGCAGCCCGTCACAGAACGGTCAGGGAGCAGACCCAATGCAGAGAGGAAAACCTGTGTGGACAGGTCTTAAAATTGATAAATGAAAACAAAATAAAATAAATAAACTTATTTGTTCACCTTCTTGGCAGTTCTATGGTGTGACTGATTGTAACCGATGATGTGGGGACAGACAGTGTTGTGTACTGGTGGAGAGAAGTAACTCAGCTGGGTTTGAGCTAGTGACCCCAGCCTTGCAAGCCCAGTGCCCTACCACAGCGCCACTGGGGAGCACAGGTGACAGGCAGAATTACACCCTTTTGAATGGTGGGGGGGTTAAATGGCGGGAAAAATCGGACAAAGAAAGATGCCAAGAATGGCGTAAAACAAACAAAAGATTCAAGAAACCAAATAAATGCCCAAACCAAAACACCACTCTAAGGAGAGATGGGGAGCTGACTATATTTCACCTTTACTTTTCTTTCTCTCTCTTAATTTTTTATTTATTTTTTTTTTCCTTGTCTTAAATCTAAACAATGTTTCTTTCTCCTTCTTTCCCTTTTCTCTTTTTTTCTGTGACCTAGGTTAGAGTAGTGCTCTGTTTTCTGCTCTTTGTTTGTTTTCTCTTTTACCCTTCTTTCTTTTTGTTTTTATACCCACCTGGACTAAGTACTGTACCGGTCACCCCTCTACAAAGGTGTGACTAGGACGCGCTGTCTGCCACGGCCTTAAATGCCGGTACCAACAGGTGCGCCTGGTTGGCACTGATTACCCCTTGGTATTCTGGGATTTTGAGTCCCCTGGAGTAACAGTGCCTCGCCGCCGTTGCCCCCTGCTGGCAGCCAGCAGCACAGGCTGACCCTTTACACGGCCGAATGTTAAGATGTCGTTGGTCCACTTCTCCCTTTGTGGCAGAAAGTGCAAATGCATGTGTCGTCACCGGGGCTGAGAGTGCATGTCTGAAGCCAGACTCTATTGGGGGTTTATTTGTGCTACAATTCATTTTAATCAAATAGTGTCAGCCTATGCAGACTTTGTAACCTCAACATGAAATTAATGTCAACGTATTCTTAGTTAGTAAGTCAAACAACCAGCTTATTTTTTGATAAAATTAAAGGCAGAACACTGTTTGCGTTTGTGTGTGTTTGCTCTCACTCTTCCACTCGCTGACATCCAGCTGCAGACTCTCAAAGGAGTCATCATAAGGTGGAGACTCCGGCTCGTTTTCAGGGTCGTGGAACTCGCTGAGGTAAGGGTGAGACAGTCCATCTTTAGCCGTGAGTCTGACCTCTGGGTCCAGCATCAGCGTCTTCTCCAACACATCCACAGCTACACATGCAAGACACTTTACATCAGGGCTATAAAAGTACCAGAAGCTCCCAGACATTTAATCTACTTTCTCACTGCATTACACAATCCTGCCACTAGAAAGTGTCATCACCATTCACTAACACAGCATGACATGCTGCTGCAGTGTTTCTCTCAGTTCTATAGAGCCCAATAAACAGCGTATTCCTGTGTTTTTCCTGTTTTAACACTTGGGCCAGGAGTTAATCCTAGATTCCATACAGTGATGTTCAAGTAGGCCTGTTCAATTCCAGAAAGTTTGGACTCGACTACAATTCCAAGTGATGGGAACTGATACAGTCGATTCAAAGAGTCGATTCCACAAAATAATCCCAATTTTAAAAACCAAGATAATAAAGAAGGCAGGAAGATCATATTTTGGTTTTCAAAAGTTGACAGAGGAGAATCAGGTACAGTTAATTAGAGAATCAGCTAAGATCAAATACAGGATGATTCAAAAAGATTCATCCGATTTCAAAATGATTTATTTCACTTGTAAATCGTTACAGATCAGTGCAGTGAACTGTAAATGGTTTAAATGAGCATAAAGTTTATTATGTAATTGTACAAGGTCTCAGTATGAACCTCCTCCAGCTGTACAGACAACATCAACGCCATAGTCAAACTCATCCCATACTGGATTGAGCATGTCGGGTGTCGCTGCACTCACGGCTGTTTCAGTGGGATTTCGAGATCATCCAGTGTTGTGGAACCAACGACGAACGCTCTGAGCTGTTGGAGCTTCACTGCCCACGAAAATCACACTGCACAGTTATGACGGATTCACTCTTATTGAAGTGGAGAACGCAGAACGCTTTCTGCTCAGGGGTCTCATCTCCTCTCAGACTGAAGGGGGAGCCATCTTCCACTGACAGTCAGAAACTCTATGACCCCCTCTTTCAATTGGATTGTGATTGGTTCCTCGGCGCCTCACGGTTGTAAAAATATGCCACTTTAAAATCGGATGAATCTTTTTGACTCTGTATAATAATATTGTGTTAATTTTGTTTGGCCAGATGTCTTTCCATATGTCTTTTCTATGCTTTTTGGAATAAAGTGTGGAACTGACCCATGATCATCTCTTGGAATCAAAATCAGAGTTGACTCCAAAACATCTGGAATCAGACAGCCCTGTCTTACACACCTGCTTCAAATCATCAAGTAATTATCAAGACTTTCATGATGATTACAGGGATTATTGCTCTCGGACTGATAATTAGTCCAAATCACGGGTCCCCCTGAAAGTATCCCACAAAACATCTTTTCTCCAGTGCTGACTCTGGAAAACCTCAGCAATGTGCTCTCAACAACAGCAGTTTTCACAGCAATCTAAATTGCTAAAACTTCCACCCTAATCTAAATCTAAAGAGTTAAGGACTCACCCCAAGAAGCCATCGTTGGAAAGACTTTCCTGAAGTCTTTCTTTTTCTGCACTGGGAGAGACGATACATATGTCCTTGCCTGCAAGCACAAAAAGTTTCACAGGGTAAAATAAGAAGTGTAGATGATTCTGTTCATTTAATTACACTGGAGCAAAGTTACTTTCTGATACAGCTCAAAAACACACAAAGTTACAGGTGTAAAATAACAGTAACTGATTATAATGAATTCCTACATCTTTGCTCTGCATTTTCTGCAGCAGGGATGAGTGCGGTGTTCCCGTCAGATCGAGGATCATATTCAGCTGGTCCATACCTGTGATTTGGGGTTAAGGAATCTATAGTTTATCTATAGCTTATAAGTTTACCAAGCAGTTTGGTGCACGCTGAGTTGTAACCTACCTTGTACCCACCGTACAGGTGCGCTTCACACTGACTGTAGCTTATGTGTTGTTATACAGACACGCTCTACCATAAATCAATAGAAATAGACCATCATAGAATGACCGCTGGCCAGATATTATTTGGATGGTGGGCCATTCACAGCACAGCTGTGACAAAAACATAGTTAACATAAATATCCAGCCAGCAGTGGTTCTGAAACTGACCACTGACGTGGCGCTAGAGGACGACTAACACTAACTGTGCAGTTATAAATATGCAGCTCACAAATGCACACCTACCAACAAGGTAGGTACAGTACTGAGCAAAACTCAGAGGCCACCCTTCATTTATTTAATTTTCAGTCAAAACAGCCATTAAGTACATGTTATTTATTTTTCAACATCAGGAAATAACAGCTTACACAGAAGCTACTATGTTAAATGTAATATCAAATGTTTTAATATTTAATGTGTTCATTCTTTGCCTTTATTACAGCTTCCATACTTTTCAGGAGACTTGCTTTCAGATCTTCAGAAAATTTTCCACACCTCCAAAGTTCTGGAGATATAAAGGCCCAGCCTGCGCCGCCAGCCACCAGCAGAGGGCGCCTGCTGGTGGCCGGCGGCGGCAAGGTGCCACAAGTTCAGGGAACTCCAATTCCCAGAAGCCCTCAGGCTGATTAGGCCCAACCTGGCATACCTGTGGACTCCTCTACTTAAGGCTGTGGCAAACAGCAGCCCTTTGTCACACCTTTGTAGAGGGGTGACCGGTACAGTATTTAGCCCAGGTGGGTATTTAAATAAAAGGAAAGGAAAGGAAAGAAGGCTGGAAAAACAAAAGAGAGAAGTTGCCCCAAAACTACTTAAAGCCAAAAAGAAGGACTGAACAAGAAACGACTCCAAGCCATACAAAAATGTTTACTCCACAAAGAGCAAACATAAAGCTGACCTTCCCCTCAGAATTACAGAGGAAGTGTTTTTTGTTTTCTGATTATCTTTTATTTCATTTTTCTATCTGAGCCTTAGTTTGAGTACGCTGCTTTCAGCATCCCCTTTGTTTGCCTTTTTCCCGTCGTTTTTTTATTTCCCATTCATATTTATTCCACTTTAGTCACGGCAAATTCCCACTTGTTAGTTACGGCTCTCTATATCGCACAGTGCTGTTAACAGCTTTCTTGGACTCCTTGCTACAGATGGTATTGCCAGCACTCCATTGACATTGAAAGTAAAGTACGTTTTTTCCTTCTCCTGTTAAATTCCCATTTTGGAGATACGAGGTTCTCTTCCAACAACAGTGATGATATATGTGTGTGTGTGTGTGTGTGTGTGTGTGTGTGTGTACAATAGACACATGTAGGTTTTAGATCTTTCACATCAGATCACTCTGAATAACTTTGTCTGTTCTCAAATCTTTAAAAAACTGGTGGAATTCCCTTTTAATATGCTGCTATCACTGCTGTGCTGAGAATAGTCCTATGGTTGTCCCTCTTCATTGACGGATGGGGTAGAGGGCGGCTGACCAATTGCAACAGACAATCAGTTGTTGCACCAACATGGTAGGTGTACATAATAAAAGGCCCAGTGAGGTGTAGGTACAAGGACGTGCACAAAGATGGACATCAAAAAGAAAGGATACTGTCATTTCCTGGGAAAAGCACCTGCCCAGTGATCATCTCAGCCAGGATGCAGCCAGCAGACCATATATCAACTGCAAAAAAAAAAAAGCAGCAGTTCAGAATTTGCATTAGCAACAAAGGAGTGACACTCATCATGCTGTTACTGTGTACAGTAGCATTCATGGCATCACCTGCATATACATACACTGACCGGTCACTTCATTGTAGTTCTACAATTACAGACTGTAGTCCATCTGTTTCTCTGCGTTCTTTGTTAGCCCCCTTTTACCCTGTTCTTCAGTGGTCAGGACCCCCATGGACCCTCACAGAGCAGGTACTATTTGGGTGGTGGAACATTCTCAGCACTGCAGTAACACTGACATGGTGGTGGTGTACTACTGTACATTGGGCTGGTATGAGTGGATCAGACACAGTAGTGTTGCTGGAGTATCAGCACAGCACACACTAACACCACTATGTCAGTGTCCCTGCACTGCAGAGCTGAGAATGATCCAACACCCAAGTGATACCTGCTCTGTGGGGGTCCTGACCATTGATGAACAGGGTGAAAGGAGGCTAGCAAAGTATGCAGAGAAACAGATGGACTACAGTGCACCTACACGGTAAGTGGAGCTAATAAAATGGACAGAGTGTAGAAACAAGGCGGATTCAGGTGTTTCAGCCACATTTATCGCTAACAGGTGTATAAAATCAAGCATATAGTCATGCAACTTCCATAGACAAACTTCAGCAGTAAAATGGGTCTAACTGGAGAGTTCGGTGACTTAAATATAACACTGTTATAGGATGCCGCCTCTGCCACAAGTCAATATGTAAAATTTCGGCCCTGCTAGGTCTGCCCCGGTCAACAATTACTGTGAAATGGAAGGAGCAACAACAACTCATCCATGAAAAGGGAAGACCACGCAAACTCACGGAGCTGCTGAGTATAGAGGCATAATTGCCAATCCTCGCACTACAGAGTTCCAAACTGTCTATGGAAACATTAGCACAAGAACTGTGAATCAGGAGCTTCATGAAATTGGTTTCCATGGCTGACCATCTGCACAGAACCCTAAGGCTACATTCACGTTACAGGCCTTGTTGCTCAAATCCGATCTCTCTGACACGATGGTTCACACTCGTTTAGGTAAGTGATTCAAATCTGTCATTAATGTGAACAAACCGGCGTCCTGAAATGACCCTCATGAGCTCATCCTACTCAGTAACGTCACGTGAATGAATCACGTTCATCATCAGCACAAACTAACGAGCAGAACGAGCTTCGCTGAGAAGATAATTAACTCTGATCAGCTCTCAGCTTCATTATTAGAGCGAGACGAAGGAGAAAAAGGTGAGATGAGCTGCTTTTCCACCATTTACAGGCTTTATCTTCTGTTCTGCGCTGCTGCCATGGTAACGCTGAATGATGGAGCACGCGCAGTGGAAAAAAAGCACATGAATTCAGATCTGAGTGTCACATTAAGGTCACATGGCCACCAATACGTATCCGATCTAGGACCACATATGAAAGTGGTTCAGGTCGGATTTGAAAATATCAGATTTGTGTCCACACAGCTCTGAAAACATCAGATCTGAGTCACATTAGGGCAAAAAATCTGAGTGTGCCACTTCAACCTGGTAATGTGAACGTAGCCTAAGATATACATGCCCAATGCCAAGTGTTGGCTGGAGTGGTGTAAAGCACGGCACCGCTGGACTTCGGAGCAGTGAAAACATGTTCTCTGGAGTGATGAATCACACTTCACTGATAGATGATGGATTCGTCTGATAGATAAATCTGGGCTGATGGATGCCAGGAGAACACTACCTACAAATATGCATAACCAACATCGTTTGGGCTCAGCCCCTTAGTGCCAGTGAAGGACAATGTTAATGCTACAGCATAGAAAGACATTTCAGGCTACTATATGCTTTGTGGTAATAGTTTGGGGAAGGCCCTTTCCTGTTCCAGCATGACTGAGCCGCACAAACCGGGGTCCATAAAGACATGTTTTGACAAGTTTGGTATGAAGAACCTCCAATAGCCTGCACAGAGCCCTGACCTCAACCCTTTGACCACCACTGGGATAAACTGGAAAGTTGATTGTGAGCCAAGCCTTCTTGTCCAAAATCAGTGCCTGACCTCACAAATGTTCTTTTGACTGAATGGACAGAAATTCCCACAGACTCAATCCTAGATCTTGTAAAAACCTTACCAGAAGAGTGTAGGGTGTTGTCGCTGCAAGGGGGGGGCAATGCCATATTAATGGCATATTAATTTGGAATGGGATGTCCTACAAGCTCATACAGGTATGATGTTCAGGTGTCCACATACTTTTGACCATATAGTGCAGCTCATTTTAAAGCTCAGCAGTTTTCAAAGAGGAAAAAAAAGATTTTAGGATTGTAATCAGAAAAAAGGGCACTGTGATATTTCCAATGATTAGTCGAGAGGAATTTCGGCTACCACAAACCCACAGTTAGCCAGAACAGACCTGTAAAGTGTAATATCACCGTAAACATTGATAGAACATGAAGAGGAAGTAAAAAATCGTTTATAGGGCCAAACTTCACCTGTCTGAGTGTAATGCATCCAGTTAAAGATGACCTCAGGCGCTCTGTACCACCTTGTCACCACATAGCCTGTCATCTCCATCTCCGCATGTCTGGCCAAGCCAAAGTCCAAGATCTGTTTATGTGTGGGTGAACAAGCAAAGGAGAGAGAGAGAGAAGGAGAGAGAGGTGAAACCATTACGTCACAGGTTGTTCAAACAAAGTCACTCATCTCAATGCAACAGAACACGGAGTCGGACGCAGAAACAAAAAACTGAATGATAAGGGAAAAAATAGACAATCATTTAACAGCACCATCCTGCAGTGCAGCTCTCTGAATTACGGAGCTTACCTTCAATTCACAGTTTTCATCAACGGCAAGATTGTTTGGCTTCAGATCCTGATAGAAAAGCATGATTAGTAACTCAAGTTATATAAACATTTCAATCATGACACTTTGTGTTGTAGTGGCTGATCTTATAGCACACTGCTGCTAATATGCCAATGACTACAATGCATTGTAACGATTACAAACGTATGCAAAAACACTGGTCAAATGACATGTTTTGTTGGCTTTTTTAAGTGGAAATAAGTTGAAGACACATCCTCTACAGAGAACAAACTTAAATATGGAATTTTCCTGCAGTTTTTAGTGCACAATTTCTATTTTGCTGCTTAACATATTGGAAAAAAACAAAACATATCGCTGTTGTCAGAAGAAAATGATAACTTTACAGGAGAAGGAAAAAACCTACTTTACTTTTAATGTAAGTCAATGGAACCAGACTTCTTTCCAAGTCATTTTGCATTGTTTCTTTTGATCCATTCTTCATGAAATTTACACACAATGTAAAGAGCAATAGGCAGTTTCAAATTATGTCAAAAACTGAAAAACAACAAAAATGGAGATACAAGGTTTTCTTCTGGGGTTATAATATAAAATGTCATAACTATTGTAGAGGCTGATGTCAAGTTTCTTCCATTATTAAATTCAGCAAATAAACAGTAATTGTGCATTAATTTAATTTGTCCAGGGGTACTTAAAATTTTGTCAACGACTGTGTGCTAACATTCAGTGTCCATGTTTATAACATCCATAATACACTTTAATCATTTTAATAACATTCAGTGTTCATTTTAATAACATTTCCTCAATCCCCATGAAACAGCACGGCACTGCATTAGTTTGAGGAGATTCAAATCAAGCTACAAGTTAATTACTTTAGCTGATAAGTGCCAGAGTGATCAATAAGGTTAAGTAATGGTACAGGTTGTGAAGTGTATACATACCCGATGAATGATCCCAGCAGAATGGATATACTGAAGAGAAAAGTTCCAGTTACTAACTGCGTACAATGGGTCAGATCTTGAGTATCAGAATGAATTTGCCTTTAGCAAAATCAAATAAATGCCAGCATTAAGCTTTATGCTTATTGTGAACCAAAGGGACTAAAGTCAACTGAAAACTGAGAGGGACTGTATATAAGAGCACAGAACTGGTGCTGTTTCATGTTCTATAATGTTATATTTGAATCAAAGGAGACAAAAAGGTAGTTAAGAGTCCACAAACCTTCAGTCCTCTCAGCAACTGATAGAACAGATACACAATCACTCTTTCGGTCAGTCTCCTCTTTTTCATTATGTGGCCCAGATCCTGAGCCACAAACGGCATCACCAAGTAGCTGTAATGTGTGCACACACACACACACACACACACACACACACACACACACACACACACACACATACACACACATGCAAAGACTTTTACACATGTAATGTAATTTTGAAGAAAAAACAGACATAAAACTAGAAACACCATATCTCTGCTGTCGGAACAAATCCTCGCATCTCCTTGTATGTAAGTCAATGGAACCAGGGTTTTGTCCAAGTAATTTTGGGCCATTTCTTTGGGTCCATTCACCATGAAATTTGCATACAATGTAAAGGGCAACAGGCATTTTCAAATTTTATATATATATATATATATATATATATATATATATATATATATATATATATATATATATATATATATATATAATAGGTACTGAGGCTATATAATTAAGCATTTTCATGATGTAAGCCATGATGTAACGCATCGTTAAGGGCTATGATAACAGAACAGATTACATACACAGCACCAGAGTGACGCAATTAGATTGGCAGGAATGTGTCTCACATGCAGAGCTACTGACTTAACCACTCTGCTATACATCCATGCACAGCTCAAAAACTCCTCTACCCTTAAATAGCTAACATGTAATGCTAATATTTTAAGCCTATGGTTGTATGTATCCCCTTGTCAAATTACATTTTGTTTTTCTTTTAAATGAAAATATCTTTATACATCCTCTACAGAGAACACATTTAAATACGAAATGTTCTGCTAATATTATTGCACGTTTTCCAGTTACAATACTGTCAAAAATAAAACATATATTGTCAAACATGCCAAAAGCCACATTTTAAGCTTAAGCCAGTATTAGTAGTTTCTGAACTACTTAAGCTCTTATTTTATTTCCAAGAGGTTTTAGGTTCTGTTGTTTAGAATAGTAGAACTATTTATACATTTGTGTAACTTTTATTCATCACCATTATTATTATTATTATTATTATTATTATTATTATTATTATTATTATTATTTAATCTAGACATTTCTAAACTTTTTCATGCCAGGACCCACATGTAAAGGAAGTGTCTTAAGACTCACCAAGTATTTGATGAAGTGAAATAAGACACAAACTTGCCAAAAAAAGTCTTTTATACGTTTTCAGCCCACTTTTACTTATTATTATAATAAAACACTTATTTGTGCTGTGTATTAGATCTTATCCATTCAGCTCTTCTGTAGGAAAATACTAATGAATTTCATTAATAATTAGTTGGGCATTACATACCTTATTTTAGTTTGTTCTGATCCGTGTTGTCAGTTAGATTAGCAGGTTAGCTCTGAGCTTTGATCACTGCTTTCAGTATAACCATCACTAGAGCATCACCAGGAAATAACCAGAGACGAGTGACAACCAGGACTGTTTTGTAAATGTTTCTAGCTGCACATAGTTTACGTTAAAAAAACAGACTTTTTGAATAATTTGGAAACAGGATAACCTGTTTAACAGACCTACACGGTACCCAGTAGTAATATCAGAGATGGTCCACAGTCAGGGCTTGATTTAAGTAATGGACGCCCCAGATTAGACAAAATCATTGTATAACTGTCATCTCCCCCTTTCTATCCCTTTTGGATTCATGTTACCTCATATGTATACGGTCCATATTTTAATTAAATCTATATTTCTGAATTACCCACTAAGTTGTCTTTGATGCACTGTGTGTTTTTTAAATACGTCAGACCAACTTATGGCCGCATGTTTATGACGGGTAACCTGTCTTCAAAAGGAGTGCGTGCTGGGCAAGTTCTGTTTAGGAGAATTTTACGGAACAAATGGCTTGCAGAGTGAAATTATTCAAACTTAAAGCTTTTTCATGGAAACTATACTAGCATTAGTCTTATTATAATACCTTTATTGCCTGTATTTTGTCACTGGGATAACAGCTAAGACATGGCTCTGTAAAACCTATAATAATAATAATAATAATAATAATAATAACAATAATACATAAGGTAAATATTTTAATGATCATGATTTTAATATTTTAATGATCATCTTCTGTTGTGGCTACAATGACATCATCTTTTCATTGTCTTTTACTATTAGCTCTGACTTTATTTCTCGCCTCTCTCCCTCTTCAAATCCTTGTATCTCCCCCTGCTGGTGACCTTTGCGTGTGTCAATGATACGAGCTTAAAAAACAGGACCTTTTTAGGTACCACTTTAGAATTCGACTTCCCTAAATGAAGCGTTTATAAATAGTTTAACATTTTGTTAATGGTAAAAATCATTCGTAAGCTGTAATAACACATAAAAAGAGCAATAGTGAGCAGTTATATCTGATGAACATGAATATGTCATGAATATGAAGCTGACAGGGTGGAAATTCCGTGTGTGCTCTAATACTACCTTAGGGCACCAAACAAGGAAGGTGTGGACCTATTTCTTATTTTTTCCGCTGATAATAACAGAACCAGAAATGAGAATCGACCCATTCCCTGTTTTTAACACTGGTTTTTGAAATGAAAATCAAACGAACAGAAGGTACACAGCCCTACCTACACGTCAAATCCTGCAATAGAAAAACAGAGAAACCCATTTCCCAATTTAGAGTTTTATCAAAACACCAGAGAACGAATAGAGGGAATATTAGGATCGGACATATTTTCATTTTAGTTCACTATGTTGATATTTTCTTCCTTCATACCTGACAGGAAGTTAATAACAGATATATGGGTCACGTAAACGTCGCTGTGGATGTACAGTTTCTTCTCAAGCCATAATCTGTGTAAAACCTCCTTATATTAGCCTCAGAACACCCTCTCAGGACACCCACGTCCCCAGTGTGCATAGAAATCTCAGCATATGTTGTGCCATTCTTGATTTATAGTTTATTTAAATCATGAGACTCATCAAGTTTACTCATCTTCAATTTACCAGCAGAATAATTTCCTATTTCAAAATCTTTGGTGGTTTGGTGATACCAGCATTAAAAACGTACGGTTCGTGCGAAAATCTGCAGCCCAACCCATAATTACCCACAAGCAGGAGTGGAAAAAACATTATTTTAGTTTATATTGTTGATATTCATTTTTTGGTGTTGTAGTAAATGGCTCTCATTCCTTAACTCAATAATATTTATATCATTCAAAATAGGTAAATGGGTCGTTCTCCGTTTTTCTACTGCAAAACCAATTAACGAAAGGTACACGGACTGACTGCACACAGACCTAAATGTATGTTTTACATGAAACAATCTGTGTTTGTTTTGATGGACTGAAAAAAAAAAATTGATTTCAAAGAGGATATGGACTGAACAGAAGATACATGGATTTTTATAACCCGTACACATGTTTATATATATTATTATTATCATTATTATTATTTAATCTACAGATTTCTAAAAATTTTTTCATGTCAGGACCCACATGTAGAGGAAGTGTCCTAAGACACCAAGTATTTGAAGTGAAATAAGACACAAACTTGTCAAAAAAAGTCTTTTATACGTTTTCAGCCCACTTTTACTCATTATTATAATAAAACACTTATTTGTACTGTGTATTAGATCTTATCCATTCAGCTCTTATATTTATCATTAACCAATTTTTGATTTCAAAGAGGATGTGGACTGAACAGAAGATACATGGATTTTTATAACCCGTATACATGTTCTTATATATACACAATCTTTCTTTTGCTCAAGTCAAGTCAAAGTTTATTTATATGGCGCTTTTACAGCAGGTGGTGTCACAAAGCAGCTTTACAAAAAAATCTGTGTCTGAGCCCCCATGAGCGTCGCCAATGGAGACAGTGGCAAGGAAAAACTCCCTAAGAGCAAGAGGAAGAAACACTGAGAGGAACCAAGACTCAAAAGGAGAACCCATCCTACTCTGGTTGACACCGGATAGCAAACAGCATTAGCAAACAGCGTCTCTCTCTGTGTCTCTCTCACACACACACACACACACACACACACACACACACACACACACACACACACACACACACATACTTTTCAACTATTTAACTTGTCATGACAGGCAGAGGATTTCGGCACAGGAATGTGTTCTGCTCATCTCGCTACTTACAAAGTTTGGAATTTTTCCAGCGAGGAGTCCGGGGTGAAAACATTCAGGAGACAGATCACCTTTGGAGAACAAAAAGTACAATGGGTTTGATTTGCTTCTGTAAAACCAGCAACACCATTAATAACTGAGACAGGATAATCCAGTCACAGGTGGTTTTGAGTTTGCTGCCCAATTCTGAACAGTGCCACTTGCTTTTTAAAGGCTCTACACAATGTAAGGAAAATTAACTTAATTTCACATCAACATTCCAACTAAATTATTGGTAAGGCAACTTTATCTCATTATACACCTGTCCAGGTAGATTTTTGTCCTCCTAGGTACAAACAATGTAAATGTACCTTCACCGGTACCATAAATGTGTTTTAAGGTACAGTAAAGTCACCTTCCCAGGGGAAAGGAGCATATCTGTACCTTTTCTTATCTTAACTGATTACATATAAAAAAAAATAAATAAAACGCCAGGTGTATGGAGTTCAAGCAACTTAAAAAACAACTGCTATGATTGTTTCCTAAATAAAAGTGCTGAAGATGTCCTGTCGAGGGTCTTAACCCAGTGACAAGGCTGGGCAATATAACAATATTTATTGTTATTGTGATAAATGTCACAATATGCTTTTCTGAGCGTATTTTGAATATCGTCAGTGCTCAAAAAACTCTGCCGCCTGCATGTTTGATCACAAAAAGAGCCCAAAGAGTCCTGTTTAATTGGATTTAGTGCAGCACAGCGAAATATTGAATACAAACAATTGGATTTGTAGTTTTTGATAGCATTTTAAGAATATGGCACTACTTTTTCTGTTCCAACTTATCTGATCAAACTGTTCTTTAGTAAGGAAAATGGCTCTGTATGGAACCACGAACACTCAAAGAACCCTTTGCATGATTAAAGGTTCTCTGCCTGGTGAAAGCATTCTTCAGATTGATGGACAGTGTGCTGTAAATGGTTCTTTTATAGAACCTTTTTGAAAAGGGTTCTATAAAGCACCAAAAAGGGTTCATCTATTATGATGTCAAGCTTGTAAAAACAGAAGAACCCTTTTTGGTGCTATATAGAGAGAGCCCCTTTAAAAAAGATTCTATATAGAACCATCTACAGCACATTGTCCATCAATCTGAAGAGCTATGTTACAATCTAAAGAACCATTTAATCATGCAAAGGGTTCTTTGAGCGTTCATGGCTCTATACAGAACCATTTTCTTTACTAAAGAACCCTCTGAAGAATCATCTTTTTTAAGAATGTAGCTCGCCTCATGTGACTAATCAGCGAGTGTGTTTACACGCACTTAATAATCTGATAACTGCAGAAAATCAGATTTTGTCAGTAAACCGATCAAAAAGTTTACATGCACTTGAGTAATCAGATAAAATCCAGATCTACATGAGTCAGACAGTAATCAGATTTCTGCTTTACAACCAGCCAATAAACTCACAGAAGAAAACGCGACATAAACGTAACGTAAAAGTCAAACTTCACGCTGCTGTTTTTTTTTTTTTAAACATCGCACAGCTTTACCTGAAAATATGAACAAACATCGTCAAGAAGATGAAGAATATTTAAATCCTTTATTTCATGTTTGGTTTCAGAGACGCTCCAAAAGTATTTTGTTGCATCTCGCAGCGACGCTGCTTGTTTATTTCTGGTAGCACCATCTGTTCTCACACATGCGCAGACTGAGAAATCGGAAAGAAATCAGAGTACAAGTTTATACGCACTGAGAAATCTGATTACTGAGCTAAAATCCAGCCTCTTTATCAGATTTCTTAATCGGATTTCTAGATCAGAGCATGCTGGTTACATGACCATTTGAATAATCAGATAACTGCAGAAATCCGATTACGATCAGGTTATTGACTGCATGTAAACACACTCAGTGATTTGAAGACTGACACCAACTGATTTAACAACTGGAATCAGGTGTGTTTCTGCTTAGCTGGAATGAAAACCTGCAGCCACACTGGCTCTCTGTGGACAGACTGGAGACTCTGGTGTATGAAATATAATACTCTTTTATAAAACTGCTCTCGTAGTTAGTATTGGAGTCACTGTTTCAGCATATTTTGATACCATGTTAAACTGATGATAAACTGTACATAAAAACTCAGTCACATGCCAAAGAAAGGCAAAAACTGGTCCATGGATTGTCCCTTATCTCCAAAATGAACACAGAGGCAAGTGGTTCTAGTGGGCTGTTTACCAAACATAAAACAGGTTTGGTGAGGTTGGAGGGTGATGCCACAGCAAAGGCAACGATACTCCTCATTTATTTATAGTTTTTAGGTTAGCCAGTCTGAATGGAAGCTACTTAACAGTATCTTCAGTCTAAACACTGTTTCTAAACACTTTCCATACTAGAGCAAATTAAGACCCTCAGCCTCAATCCCATTTCTCATTCTTACCCCTACCCCTTGTTTTTGAGTGTTGCCCCTTGGAGCTGAGTTAAAAGGAGTAGTGGTTGAAATCTTCCCTCTGAAATGGGACCCTCAAATAAAAAGAGCATCACTTCATTAACAGCTACCAGCGCTGCTCTGTAGGCGACCCTGCCAGTCTGCAGTGACAGCAGAGGAGGGTAAAGTTCAGCTCCTCACTGCTGGGCTTTAGTTACATTTAGGGCATCATATGCCTTCAAAGAGGGGGGCAATTATTTATTATCACCCACCCCTAATTCTTCAGTGATATGAAGCTGAAGTCAGAGATTCACCAGATTCTTATTCAAATGTTCCCGTTCAGCAGCAGTTCTGATGCCTGAGGCGCCAGAATGTAACTGCTGCTCCATTTAAGGTGGAGCGGGAAGTTTAGCTACCAAGATATCAACATATTACTAGTGATTTTTATGCTTGTTATTAAGAAAAGGCAGATAACACACTGAAACTGTACTAAACTAAGATAATACAATGCCCTAACACTTCGCCCTACCCCTCTATCTCAACAAGAATCGGGACACCCTACTCCTAGACGTGAACACGCAAAATGGAGGGATAGGGGTGAGGGGTGAAATGGGATTAGGCCAAAATGTGAGTAATGACAAAGTTTCCAGACATTCACTAGTACTTACGACACCAGGTCTATATTGGGGTCAGTAAGAGTTTGGGACTCACGTTGTCATGCTGGATGTGGCGTAACAGTCGGAGTTCTCTGTACGCTCGCTTAGCGTGGATCAGAGACTGAAATGGCCTGTACAGCTTCTTAATGGCCACTTTCTCCTTCGTCTTCTGGTCAATAGCAGAGCTGCACGCACATTAAAACAATGACATGAAATAAAAGTGATTCTCTGCCATCTACACTACAATCTTAAAAAATGGTTCTTTAAAGGTTCTTTAATAAGGGCAATGGTTCTATAGAGAGGCATGGGCACGCAAAGAACCATTTAAAGGCAGTAAGGTTTATTTTCATGGCAAAATAGTTCTTCTCTATGATCGAAAAACCACTTGTACATGGGCTTTTTGAAGAACCATGTTTGGTTCTGGCACCAAAGAAGCCTTTGCTAAGAGTGTAGCATTCAAAAGTTTGGAATCACTTGTCATATTAATAATTGCTTTTACTTCTATTCAAAACAGTAAACAGTGTAAACTGTAATGCATCGGATGGTATTTTAAGATAGTTTCCCCAATAAACCAAGTTATTAAATGATAAATAATATACAGTAATTCTCTATTTATAACAGTTCCTTGTTATCTGACTGAAATTCGTTCACTATGTTTAAAACACAAGATATTCCAGATGTTTATGTGTGTTATAACTGCTTATTCTACAGCTTCAGTCATTACAGCTCTGTTCTGGACACACCTAAAATTTCTACAGTTTGAAGTCAGTAAAGTTGTGGAACCGCAGATTTACTACATTTATCTGCAACATTTCTTTTTTATTTTATTGGTAAAAGTGGTCCCAAACTGTGATTTCGAGCTTAAAAAAGATGGTTGTTCAAGAGTTCTTTGGGAAAGGGACTAGGTCCATATACAACCATTTCATTCGTAAACGGTTCCTTGCATGGTGAAATGGTTCTTCAGATTGATGGAGAACATGCTGTATATGGTTCTACAGAGAACCCTTTTGAAAATGGTTCTCTATAGTACCAAAAAGGCTCCTTTTATTGTTACAAGCTTGAAATAACAACAGAAGAACCCTCATTGATCCTATATACAACAATTTTCAAAAAGTTCTATATAGGGCCACAAACAACACATTCTGCGTCAGTCTGAAGAACCATTTCACCAAGCAAAGAACCATTTAAGAATGAAGTGTATTTACCAAAGAGCCCTTGAGGATCTTTTTTTAAAGTATGTACATGAATGGAAAGAAGGAGAGTTGGCATAGATGGGTGTGCGAGGTTGAGTGCACTGTTAGAAATGAAGGTTCTGTTCAGGTACATTTTTCATTTATCAAGGTACAAACAGTGTAAATGTTCCCTCAAAGCTCCAACAGTGGTTTTAAGGTCTGATTGTGAACCTTAAATAAGTTTTTCCAGGTGAAAAGTTCGTATTTGTACCTTTTCATAACCGAATGTTTTAAACAGAACAGTAAAATAAAAGCCTGGAGACGAGACGGGGTGTGTGGAGTCAGTACAGCTTAGAACATATCATTTCAGTGGATTATGGTTCAGTTATGTTCCCTGACTAAAGGTACTGAGATGGACCCTTGAGGGTCCCACCCCAGTGACAAGAGGGGGACTGACCCAGTGGCAGTTTAGTACCTTTTATTTCTGAGAGTGTATGCACACCTGATTTGAATATATTAATTCATTTGAAGTCAACTGATGGATTTAGTCCAGCAGATGTCCACACAGAGACATGGCCAATAAGTGACCACTGCTTTAATAACTTCTGTTCTGACATCATCAAACCAGGTCAGCTCCATTGACTGGATCTTATCTCTAAAAACTTGCTGAAACTTGTCAGGTATGCAACTCTGCAATGTAGCACATATATGTCCGTTTTCCATAAGATAACATGGAGCACTCGATTTGTTTAGTATTTTGGCTGATCTGAGATCAGATATCTGACTAGTTTCTTTTTCCCCATATCAGTTTATAGAAGGGAGAACCGTGGACAGTAAACATGGCCTAAAGCTATGGAATGTATAGCATCCTGGGCGAACATAATTCCCATAGTAGGCTGTAAGAAATACAGGCTATGTAAACAAACACACATGTGGAGGTCAAGCAATTCAATTCAATGCACGTTTAAACGATACAAAGAGAGTAAAAACAGGTCTATAGAACCATTACCATACTGTTCCATACGCGCCGGAGCCCACAGGGTTTAGTGAAGTGTAGCGATCCGGGACGTCCCAGGTGGTTTTCTGGACCTCCAGCCTGTGGAAGCCCGCTTTCAGAGGGGAAGCCATGACCACAGCCGCGTCCCTTCTCCCAGTGGGCCAGCAGGTCAGTGCAGCTCGGGGCGGGAGGGGGGGTTTCCTCTCAGGCGTCTTCCAGTCTCAGGTGAGCGAGTGGAGCTCAGAAACGCCTTAACTTAGCATTTCACGGGTCAAATTCACACGTTTCCCCCTCGTCGACTTCTCTGAGTGTGTCCCAAGTTCTCCACCTCGCACCGATGCACCCTCGCACGGTTGCACACCTGTAGGCTAGTCTACACCTTCTCCACGTCAACGGCGTGCGGTGCTGAAGGCGGGCCTTAGGGCTCTTGGTGGAAGACGTGGGGGAATTGGGACAGGGCCCAAGTCCTTCAAGTGTTTCTAGACTGCTGAGCCGTTCAAAGAGGGCACGACAAATCCAACGTGTGCCTAATTTCCTCACCTAACGATTGCAGCAGGTTTTACAAATGTTATCAGTCAGGTAGGCCTGTATTGTTCTGAGCCAGATTTTCTAAGACTCACTAGGGGCGCTACTGAGCACACTTGGGTAGCCCAAACGGAGTGGCAAGCCAAGCCTTTGCAGACACAAAAAAAGCCAATGTTAGGGCAAAAGTCCGCAAGTGTTAGAATTGGGACACGTCCTGTGTTCGCTCGTTATCTTTCTTCCAGTATGTAAATAAGCGGTTATGGCCTGTTCTGATTGGTCCAATCGTACTGCACACTTTACAACAGCGCTGTAAACACGCAGAGCAAGCAGGAAGGTTAGAGTAAAAGTGGTAAATAAAGCTGTGGATATAACTATTGAACACGGTCCTGCAGAGAGAGGAGAAACAGAATGGCTTAAGATTTTTCTCTTGTGCTGCTCGTGGTTTCTGGCAGCAGTATGTCAAAATAATTTACTTTAATAATACATTAATAATGACTTACCTTCTCAGAACAGCGACTTGTCTAATTAGTGACTTATTATTTTTTAATAAAGACTTCCTAAAATAATAATTCTCGAAATTTAACAACTATAAAAACGATAATTATTCCAACATAGCATCTCAAAACCTTGAGAAAATAAGATTATTATTTTGAGACATTCCTATTTTGAAAAAATAACTGATTATTCTGAAATATTAAGTCAATATTTTGAGGTATGAAGTCGGGAAAAATTATTTCGAGACTAAATTTCGTTAAATTAATGTTAAATTATTTAATTGGCAGACTCCTGCAAATGCAATTGCAAAATTCTTCCATTTATCCGACAATTATTCCATCACTTTCATCACTTTAATTTGATAAAACATTTTCTCCTGGGAACCTTTTGGGAAAAATATATATAAAAAAAAAATACCATTATCATTTTAGTGCTGCTGTATTTACAGAATGATCTTTTCTGTAACTTCATTAATAATTTCCTTTATTGAAAAGGTACAGAACTTTTTTTGTTTTTTTTACAATGTTCTTTATTCGTGATTTCTGTGTACTGAGCACCTAGGTTATATTGAACATCTAAATCAATACACACAATCAGTCGGTCAGTGGTCAGTGGCTAAATGCACTGTTGGCAATAGTCTGTAACTAAACCTGATAACACTGAGTTTATAACAGCGTTATGGAATGTATCTCTTTCACATCTGAAAACTTTTAAGTGGAATATTTTCTGTTTCTCCATTTCTGTGTGGATCTACAACATGTTCTTCACGTTCTGGTGTCACGCCAAATATCACAGCAGTGTGCAGATTCCTCGTCCACTGCCTTCAGTGTGTAAAGAGCAGATGAATCCAGGAATAAACGGAGCCTCTCAAGAGGGGTCAAAGGGCAGATTTCAACCAGACGTAGGCCAGGGAGCTCATACATGTCTGCTGTAGTACCTGCTTTGAACTTGTGTTAAACTTTCCCACTTTTCTTTTGTCCTTCAGTCTGTTCTCTATAGATACACATTCATTCATAAACAGTGGACGCCATTGAGCCTGTACTGTCCATGTGTCTTATTGGAGGGATTAAGACATGCACACGTGAGCTGAGAATCATTTAGATCTAATGAAAGATACAAACGTCGTATATAACAGCCACCCAGAATGATGAAAGACTTCGAAAACGTCACAGGGCAGCCTGTCCAACACTCAGTGTAGGAATCTGTGCATTCCAAAGCTGTAAATCACTGCTGTTGGAAGAAAACTTTTCAGTTTTTTGACATAATTTGAAAACGCCTGTTGTCCTTTACTCAGTATGTAAATTTCATGATGAATGGACCAAAAGAAATGACCCAAAATGACTTGTAAAAAAGGCTGGTTCCACTGACTTACATTAAAAGTACAGTAGGTTTTTTCCTTCTCCTGTAAAGCTACCATTTTGGAGATACGAGGTTTTCTTCTGACAACAGCGAAATTGTAATTAAGATGACTCTGTAGATGAGACTGAAGAACACCTGAACAACCTGGAATCAGCCAGTAATGAACCCAACACCATTCACCAAACTAAACGGGCTGTAAGATGCTTTACAGACTGGCTGGAACAAAACAACATTAATACTGATCTGGAAAAAACTGACAAAACTGAGCTGAACTTGATATTGGGTCAGTTTTATGGGTCAGTCTGATTTGGTCAGACTCTGAAGATCAGACTGCACGTTTGGCGAATGGTATTGGGTTCATTTCTGGCCGATTCCAGGTTGTTTAGCTGTTCTTCTGTCACAGCTGCCGACTGAAAAGCTGCTCAGTGGTGATGACAGTTTGGGAATTTAGTGTAAGGAGCTGGAGAACGAACTGCCGGCTGTGCAGTGAGTGGGTGGAGCTCGTTACTCTGACGTAGCAACAAGCTGCTCGTTAAGGAACTATAATTTGGTGAAGGAACTGCGAAATTAAAACATATTAAACGCCGCGTTCACGGCCCAGTTTATTAATTTATTACTTTATTTATTTAACTGTTGTATAAAAGCAATAGAACACTCGAGTCAGTGTATGTATATTTCTTTTTTCTTATATAATATATACAGGCTACAGGCTTATATAATAGGCTTATATACTATATATATATTAAGCCTAATATATATGCCTACGTTCAGCCTACAGCAGTTTAGCCCCGCCCATTTACACTGAAGTTCTAAGGAGTGTTTCAGCTCTCAGTGCTTTTTGAATGAGGCTTTTTGAATAAAGCGCAGCCAATCAGAACAGAGTTCATTTATGTCACATTGATCTTAAAGGCACAGTAACAAAAACAGCCTATTCTAATGGATAAAGAGAGGAAAATAGTCATGTATAAAATGACCTATGACTGTTTTCAATACACAAAACCACATAAGTGTTATGAGTGGATCTCAAACATACGATATGAGCCTTTTAACATTTTGGACATAAAATGTTGCCTGTGCAAATGTCATGGCACATTTTATAATTTATATTTATTTTTTTCCTTATGTTAAACAAAAATTGTGCACTACAATTTGCCGAAAAAATTGTTTGGTTTTAAGGTTATTTGTTCTCTGTCATGGATGTGTTTTTTATTTATTTATTTATTTATTTATTTGTTTAAATTTAGAAAATCAACAAAACATGTCATTTCACCAGTGGTGTTCAAACTTTTGCATACGACCTATGAATAAAGAAAAAACAGATTTCCTTTTTTTATGGTTGTATTAAAGATTAGGTATTGATTAATAAGCTGTTCAAGCTTGTGTACAGTCAATAAACTAAACCTAATCATCATGTTAGTAAAACCGGGATGGTTTAAGTAACTTCTGGAAAAAAACACTGCTAATCTTTATGTATTCTGTATATTGTGTATCTGTGTATTTAGGCATCAGCACTGACTCAAGTTTCTGGCAGTGTCTCAGCTTGAGGGGATCTTTGGACTCTAGACTATTTGCACTAGTTTAACCCTTAGAAACCTAAAATTTCAGGGAATTTTTGTTGGTATTTTTTGGCTCAATTACAATTACAGCTGTAATTATAATTTACATGAGACAGTCACACATGCCATATGTTGTTATTTTCAGGAGACCCTGGGCTGCTCAGATATGCCATTGTTTGACATGTAAATGCTGACAGATTAATTATAGAGATCTTGAAAACAAGTGCAGTCATAGTTATCTTTTCAGAAATTGTTAGTCTGGAGTGTCTGTGAGCTGAAAGTGCAATAATTTTGATGGTGATTCATTTTATTGGTTATTATGAGTAACTTTCCCCCACCGCTAACGACTTTTTCTGGGCTAGCTAGCTGAGTGACTCTGTGCTGTGGTCACTGAAATTTCTTCCGCTAGCTGTGGGAACCGTGGAGTGTGTGTGTGTGTGTGTGTGTGTGTGTGTGTGTGTGTGTGTGTGTGTGTGTGTGTGTGTGTGTGTGTGTGTGTGTTCTGTGTTCTGTGTTATGTATTGTTGATTATGTATTGATTGTAAAGCGTCCTTGAGCATGGGAAAGGCACTATATAAATCAAAGTGATGATGATGATGATGACGACGACGACGATGATGATGATGATGATGATGATGATGATGATGATGATGATGATGAAAATAAACAATTAGTATAAGTCGGACATGTTTTTATATTGATTTTCTGTACTCTTGGATTCAGACTCAGTGCTAAAACTCTGATACACAGCAAGACAGGCTTTATTTTTAATTACAAATTGAGTTGCATATTAAATATCAGATATTTTTAATACTCAAATTCAATGTAAACTGAAAGCCCTTTGTTTATAATATGAAGGCTAAAAGCAGAGGTGTAGTATAACAGTAGTGAGTGGGCTGTGGGTGATTTTGGAGCTGATCTCTGGCTGATTGATGGTCACAGGTGGGTGAAATCACTCTGGATGGTGAGGCAGAGTCTGATGAGTGATCTGATTGTGAATCACGTCGCTGTTTTAACCCTTTGTTGGAATATGAAGGCCAAACAGCAGACAATAATATCAGGATTTTAGGTGATTTTCTGGCCGAATTACTCACTGATGCTGACATCACAGCTCGATGACGTCATGCTCGCTAGTTAGAGGTGGGTCTGCTGAATGTCCTGATATGTGGATCAAACCATTTTGAAGTTATAAACGCTAGAAGTGACCCACCGTTTACACACAAATTGCAGGGTTAAACTTCCTGAGTACACAAAGCCTTTCTGTAAGTCACTCAGTATAAGAAGAATCTACTAAATGCCTTAATTGTGAGTGTAAATGTACTTTAGAGTCAGAGTGAGCATGTGCAGCTGATAGAACTGTTAATAAATTCAGAAACACGTAGCTTTAAAGCTTCCAGAGCTGTAACAACAAACGTTTGCCTTCTAATCAGTCAGAATTAGACAGAACGAGAAGCCACAGTTTGGTGCAATGCCTCACTTCCATTATGTTAACACCCTGTAATAACTCAGGGCGCATTGCTGTTACAGTGTTCTCACACCTTCCTATTAGTTGACCAGAGTGAGTAAACACAGACCATGGAAAATGGGGAAAAATAGTCCTCGCTTTTCAGATG